TTCTTACTCTCTTGTGCTGAGTTACTTTTGTTTGTGGATTTCTTTTTTCATTTATTTTGTTTTTGCTGAGACTTTATGTTTTTCCTCTTTTTTTAATGAGTATGTTTGTTAACTTTCTTTGTGGTTACCATGAATTTTACCCTTATCTTTCTATGGTTGAAGCAGTCTACCATTACTTGGTATCGTGATATGGCATGATTTTTGATCTCCTAACCACCACAACTACAACCCACGTTTACTGCTAGCTTAAAGCTATTGCTAATGTAGTTGTAAGAATATACATTAATCTCACACTTAAATATAAGGTTTTATTGTATTTATATGCAGTCATGTTGTTGTTGTTAGTTACTGTCAAGTTAGTTGTGATTCGTAGCAACACCATGTGTGCAAAGTAGAACTTCTCTACAGGGTTTTCAATGCTGTGACCTTTCAGAAACAGATTGCTAGGCCTTTCTTCCAAGATGCCTCTGAGTGGGTTCAAACTGCCGACCTTTTGTTTAGTAGACAAGTACTTAACCATTTGAGCCACCCAGGAACTCCCGTGTTCAGTCATACATATGATAAAGTTTATTTCCAACCTATAGAACATTGATAAAGGAAATTGTCAGAAGACTTTGGGTTGATTACTATAAATCTCTTTAACCTTTCATTGGTAGATTAGTGGATCTCATATAACATAATCATGAATAACAGCATATTAAGGCTGGAAGTCCCTGGTTGGCACAAATGGCTAAGCACTCCACTACTAGCTGAAAGGTTGATGGTTGGAACCCACCTAGAGGTGCTTTAGAAGAAAGGCCTGGTGATCTGCTCAGAAAAGTCACAGGCTTGAAAACTCTGTGAAGCACAGTCCTATTCTGCGCACATGGGTTTTGCCATAAATTGGAATAAACTTGATGGCATGGTGTTTGGTTTTTTTTTTTTTTTTTTTTTTTTAAGGCTGGCAGCAGCAATTAGTGGGTAAAAGGACATGGACTTATGTGTGATCTGATAAAAACACTCAATATCTCTGTCTTCCTGTAATGTTTCCCTAAACTTTAGAAGACAAAGAAGAAAGTTTGGGAAGCACTAGATGCTTATAGCTGTGGGTTTTGGAGAATGAAATTGTGTGGACGGTCAGTGTCAGTGCCTTATCTGTGCGGGGTTGTCTTGGGACTTTTTTGCAGGAAGGCTGGCTTCAGCTAGATGATGAGAGAAAATGGTGGAACTTGTTTTTATCCTTTTTGTCTTCAGACCCCATATCTTAGTTATCTAGTGCTGCCATAACAGAAATACTACAAGCGGATGGTTTTAACAAACAGAAGTTTATTCTCTCACAGTCTAGTAGGCTAGAAGTCCAAATTCAGGGTGTCAGATCCAGGGGAAGGTTTTCTCTCTCTGTCAGCTCTGGATGAAGGTCCTTATCTTCAGTCTTCCCCTGGATTAGGAACTTCTCAGCACAGGGACCCTGGGTCCAAAGGACACACTCTGCTTCTGGCACTACTTTTTTGGTGGTATGAGGTCCCCAGTCTCTCTGCTGGCTTCTGTCTTTTATATCTCAAAAGAGATTGACTTAAGACAAAACCTAATCTTGTAGATTGCCTCATTAACATAACTGCCTCATTAACAACATAGGGATAGGAGTTACAACACATAGGAAAATCACAGCAAATGACGAAATGGTGGACAATCACACAATACTGGGAATCATGGCCTCGCCAAGTTGACAGATATTTTTGGGGGACACAATTCAATCCATGAGACCCCAATTCCCCCCACCCAGGTTAGTATCTCTAGATCTGAAGCCTGAGTAAAGGTCCCGATATTGTCTTCCTTTCTCTCTCACAACCTATGAGAAATTACATGGGATAGTGTTTCTTTTTAATAGACTGTTGGCTTCTTTTCGTGGATTCCTGGGTGGTGCAAACAGTTAAGTGCTGGAAGATTGGCAATTTGAACCCATCACACCTCAGGAGACAGATCTGTTGTTCTGCTTCCAAAAGGTTATAGCCTTGAGAACTCTATGGAGCAATTCCATTTTGCACACGTGTTTGCCATGAGTTGGAATCAACTTGATGGCAACTAAAAACAACAACATTCTTTTGGTAAGTCTGCTTCTTTCATTTTCTTTCACTCTGCAAATATGCTGAGCTGTTAGTACTGTCATTGTTATTAGTTCCCATCCAGTCTACTCCCTACTCATGGCAACCCCATGCATGATGGAACAAAATGCTGCCTGGTCCTAGGGCATCCCCCTGATCAGTTGGAGATCGGACCTTTGTGATTCATAGGTTTTCATTGACTGATTTTCAGAAGTAGATTGCCTGGTCTTTCTTCCTAGTTTGTCTTAGTCTGTAAGCTCTGTTGAATCCTGTTCAGCATGACAGCAGCACGCAAGCCTCCACTGGCAGATGGGTGGTGGCTGTGTGTGAGATGCATTGGCTGGGAATCAAACCCGGTTCTCCTGCACAAAAGGCAAGAATTCTACCACTGAACCACCAATGCTGTCTTACTCAGTACTAAACCAAACCAAACCTGTTGCCGTCGAGTTGATTCTGACTCATAAAGACCCTATAGAACAGAGTAGAACTGCTCTGTAGGGTTTCCAAGGAGCGACTGGTCGATTCGAACTGCCGACCTTTTGTTAGCAGCTGAACTCTTAACCACTGAGCAACCACTAGGTGATGTAAATCTTACAGGTTTGTTTTCCAGGTCTATATCCTAAAGTTAGCAATTTAACTAAAGTCTATACATTGGAATTATTTGTTCATTTATTTAATTGCCAAATATTTACTGAACATCTATAGCTTGTCAGGAACTGTAAGAATACTACTAGAGATATAAAAATGAACAAGAGAAAACTTATGCTTACAGAAATTTCTGTGATAAGTTCTGTAATAGAAGTAGGCTTAGGGATCTTGGGAGCACTGAGTGGAATCTGTCTGAACAGGAGCTAATTATTGTTGTAGTTTGGTTGAGTTCCTCTGAAAGCAGAGCCTGAAACATAGTCTGGAGTTCATGTGGTTGATTGGGATGGTGATCGCAAGGAGAAAGAGAGAGTGTGACAAGTAAGTAGAAAACGTCAGTATAAAGGTATGTTATTGAAGGCAATTTGTTCTCTAATTTTCTGGGATCTCAAGAATTGTACATACAATTTCCCTGAATTAGCTTCTTGGAGAACAAGGGGAAGAATCATGTATCCATCCACTTCTGTCTCCCATTGACTAAGAGTTGCCACTGGTATGTTAACCCCTGGCATTTCAGCTGGGTTCTCATCTTATCTTTGTCACTGGCAAAGCCCCAGGCAGAGAACAAAAAGGCATGGCATCCTTAGGGCAAAAAGCTGGCACAAAATGAAATGAAGAACACAGGAAACTGTGCCCTCAGCCCTATCTGAAATCTGAGGAATTGGCAAGCAACTGTGAGCAGGGGTGCCTTTGATGTTCCTTTTAATCTGCTTTGTATTCCTGTAGACAGGTGAGTGAAGGTATATGTTGGACAAACAGATCAACATGTACAAAGGCACTGGGGCACAAAGCATGTATTAAATTTAGGAAAAGGAAGGATATGTGGAGTTAGAAAGAGGGTGCATATGAAGGAGTGCAGGCATTGAGATAGGAAAGCTAGATGGGACTAGATCTCATGTTAGAGAGTGCTAACTTTGTCCCACAGGTGTGAGAGACTACTGATGACCTTAAGATTTGAACTCTTGAATGTCACCTTCTCAACAGTATTGAGGACTAACTTGGGTGCAGGAAAACTAAAGACAAAAACACCATTTTATGATTAATGATGCAGATGAGAATAATGACATCTTGAACCAAGGCATAAAAATACTTACGATACATAATGAAGAGGTTTTAACTGATTAAATATCAGGAGAGAGTGAGAAAAGAAGTCATTTTTCTTTGTTTGTCATTCTTTTTTCCTATTTGTCTCCTCTTTCTGAGTGTGGATAAACTTTATAAAAACTTATTCTAAAAGATGCTGTCTTTTAGACAAGGACTTGTCTCTTTGATGAAACGAATACACATTTGTGTATTTAGAAATGTGTAAACAAATTTAAATATTAGAAAATAAACAAAATATAAATTTCCTGGGGTGGGGGACCTAGTTCAATTTTTTGCTGGACATATGCTTTATGATTTCTGTACATGATATCTATATCTTGGCTCATATTTTTGCTAGTTGGAAAATGTTTTGCTTTCTATTTAGTACTACCATTATTATATGCTGTATTGTTTACTTTTTAAGGAGTCCTGGTGGCGTAATGGTTAAGTGCTCAGCTGCTAACCGAAAGGTCAGCAGTTCGAGCCCGTCAGCGGCTCTGTGGGATAAAAGACCTGGTGATCTGCACCCGTAAAGATTACAGCATATGGGGCAGTTCTGTTCTGTCCTCTAAGGTCGCTATGAGTTGGAGTCAACAACAAGTTATTTTTTGCAACCTTACAAACCTATGATCAATTCAAATAATCTTTTCTGGAAATTAAAAAAAACAATTAAAACATTGAATCTGCTTTGCCACTGTGTTTAGTAGCACAAGGAAGAAAATGCCATCATGTTTAAGAAAAATATATAATTTAGTCATCTGTAAATGCAATTTTAGCTCAGGAGAAAGGCAGGCATTTATATTTTTCACAATCAAACTTACTTAAATGAATACAGTAAGAGTTATAACTGCAGTATGGTTGAAGCAGCAGTCAGCTCTCAAACACAAAAGCAGCTCTGATAAAAGTTTCTCAGCTTCCATTGCCTCAGCCTAAAAGTTGGCCTTTACTGTAATAGATGGAAGTAAAATAACTGAAAAGGATCTATTGCAGTTTTGAAATATCTTGAAAATAGATTGGGGTGAAGCCACCGTCCCCTTAAATAAGAGACAATTTGTTGGTCATTTCTCTCCAGACAGATGAGAGTAAGGCCTGCTTCCTCTTTTGTTAGTCTCAATACCTCATTTGTTACTATGTATCAGAAAAGCAGCACACCATAAATAAAGATACATTTGAGCGGTTTATTCTGACATGGGACTGGTAGACAATGGGAAGACTGGTGTGGACGCAGGTGGGTTGTGGGTAGTGATTTGGAATCAAAGAAATAAAAGTTTGCAGACCCTAGGATGTGTGTGTTTGTGTGTTTGTTGTAGCAGAATGCATGGAAGAAAAAAACAGGCAGAATTCTATCTCCAGAGGTTAATCTTTTAGGAAATATGTAGACTCTTTTATAATTTTGTGGGTAAATAAATCCTTGATCACTTGAAGAATAGTGACCACTTGAAGGTATAATATGTACTAACTGAAAATAACAACAACAACCAAAAAAGAATTGTCTAAAAATTCCCAAAGGAAGGTGGCCCATTGAGTTTTTAGAGCTAGTGTAGTATAACAGTTCAAAACATGAAGCTGGTTAAAGAGAGGGGATATAGAGAAATGGTGACGTGACCTTTTTTGTTTGTATCTTAGTGGATTCTTACCTGTGATTATAGGAGACACCTGAAGTTATTATAAGATAGTCAGCTGTAAATCAGCCATTAATGGATAACAGCTATAATAGGCCAATGTCAAAAGCAATACAGGTGCCACAATTATTTACTATTTTTGAAATATTAGGGTTAGTTTAGACATTTACTGCTAGTACTGGTATATTTGGTTAGTTAATTAATATTTTGTGAATCTTAATTGCTAACTAAATTCCAGAGTGAAATGGAAGACATAATACTGAAAAAATTATCATCTACAAAATAGATTTTGTTTTTCTTTTAAGAACGTTAAACAGTCAATCCTCATTTTTTGTGGATTCTATATTTGAGAATTCTCCCATTTACTAAAAATACTCGGGGTGCTTTTGTGGTCATTTGTAGACATGCATAAGCACAGAGTGGCAAAAAATCCTCAGCTGAGGTAGAGCAAGGCTGGTTTGGTATTCACTAACGAGTATCTGTGAGGACTTTATAGAATGTAACTACTAAGAATAGAGAATCAACTACGTCAGTGTGGTAGGCAGAATAATAGTCTTCCAAAGAAATCCACATCTGAACCCCCTGAACCTGTGAATGTGTTATGTTAAGCAAGGAGAATTAAGGTTGCATATGGAATTTAGGTTGCTAATCAGCTGACCTTGAAATAGAGAGATTATTTTGGATTATGTGGGTGAGCCGAATGTAATCACAAGGGTCCTTTAAGCGGAAGTGGGAGGAAAGAGAGTCAGTGTCACAGTGTTGCAGTGAGAGAAAGGCTCAACCATCTTTACTGACTTTGAAGATGGAAGAGAGCCATGAGCCAAAGAATGTGGGAAGTCTCAGGAAGCTGGAACCAGCAGGAATTGGATTCGAGAACCTCCAGAAAAGAACACAGTCCTGCCGTCACCTTAATTTTCGACCACTGAGACTCCTGCTGGACTTCTGTACTCTACAACTATAAAATAAAAAATTTGTGTTGTTTTAAGCCACTAAATTTGTGGTACTTTGTTAGCACAATAGGACACTAATACAATAGGAAACTTATATAATTAGCTTAAAAATCATAAAAGAAAATTAAGTGGCCATAATACTAAGAAAATTTAGAAAAGATCATAGAGTATTGTTGCCACTCTCATAATTTAAAGTTCATTGTGATTTTTAAAACAGCTCTTGCAACTATGTGACTATCCCTTTACATTTCATAAAAATATAAGCATTATTTGATAAATTTTGAAAACAGAATGAATTATAATAATTTAAATTTAACTTAAATTCTACTAAAAAAAATAGAACATACCACATAGAACATCTGTCTGAAGAATCTTTGTTTTATCCACTTACACAAGTGTTCATTGAATTCTCAGCTGGGATATGAGATATGACTGTAAAACAAAAATTTCAAGGAAACATAATTTTATTTAATGAAAAACTCTCAATCCAACTGTTATAGGCCAGGAAACAATATATATTTTGATCTAAATATTTATTATATTTAAGGTTTTAGGAAAGACTAAATTAAAACGGCACTAGATCAACTTTAAGACATTGTGATATGTGGAATAGTTTCTTCACATATAAAGAAAAAACAAAGGTTAAAGAAATTTAGCTACCTAGTTACACAATGAGGCTAAAAGATATTTCATAACTCTTAATAAAACTGGATTAATTATACCTTAAAGGAAAATGCTTCATTGGGAACTACGGAGAGAAAAAACAGAATTTTTATGTAGTGTTAACAAGTTTACATTGGTATTAAGAGTAGGAAAACAGCAAAGTGTCTTTTATTCATTTCTCCTGTATCTTTTAGAAATAAAATTCAACTTCCTTTTATTCTTAGTAAAGACTCATCTGAGGTTTTGATTTTAAGAGATCCACTAGTCTAGCATTTTTTTTTTTTTTTTAAATTACCAAGTTGGATTTTCAGGTGGAAAAAACAACAATTAAGTGGGACGAAAACATCACACTTTCCCCCCTCTATTTCTTTTAATTTTTAACACAGAAACAGAGATAGTATAGATGCAGTTTAAATCTTAGGCTCTCACAATATTTCACT